TTATCTTATTAACTGTTCTTCAGAGAATTATGTTTTTTAAATAAAATTTTTTTTTGAAGATTATTTTAACCCTAGAATAGAAATAGGATTTTTTATCCTCTAATGGAAAACGAGGTGGTTAGGCACCCCAAATTTGGAACGTGTGTGTCAGGTTTCTATTTTACTGAAAACAGCTTTTATATAGTGGACTTTTCCGTTCATTAATAAGGAAGATAATGACATAATACATTTTCTAGTAAAGTAGAAAGAAATTATAAAAATGATGTAAAAACAAAAAAGGAAAGAAAAAAGAAAAAATTTTGCAAAATTAAAATTTTTTCAATTATTGCAGTTTCTCAACAATATGGCTAATTTTTAAATATCCAGCAGTTTTTAAAAGATGAATAGAGAGACACTTTAAGAATAAAATATTAACTTTTACATTACTTGAAAACATAACATTTTTTTTGAAATTAAGCGACAAAAATTAAGGAAAATTGACTGGCCAATCATTTCCAGAAACATATCTATCGCTCTAACTCGCCAAAATCGATTGTCAGATATATAAAATGAATTATGGTTAAGAATCGGAACCAAAAACACCTCTTCGCGTGGGATTGACATTAAATTTTTTTTAAAAAGTAGTTTTTGGGAAATAAGTGCTCTAATAGTAAAGTGTTATTTACTCTGCAAAAGTGAAAAGGGGCAAAAGTTTGAAGGATTTTCTCAAAGTATATACTCTAAGGAGTAATAGAATACCTTACATTTATTGATATCTAGTGAAGTCTACACGGAAAGAAAAATTGTAATAATATTTTGAAATCAATTTTTACTATAGTTGGTAGCATGTAATGGAAACTAACGGATTTAATTAATTATTATTATCACTTTTAAGAAAGCCTAAAATAAAAATAATATTATATAATATAGTTAGAAAATAAAAATTAGTAAAGTCATTTGAATAATTAAAATTTTACTATAGGAAACTCCAATGACAATTTTTATTAAGAATTTTAGAAATATCATTATAAAATGATTACGTTAATTGCTTCAATATTTTCATATTTTGGTATAGCCGATACGAAAATTTCAGAAAAGAAGGTTGGGGAAGTGGGACCGAAGGCAACCGAGCGAGTCTAAACGAATTTGACCGATTGCTAACGAAAAGTCATGATGATTACTCCTGTATTCGGCTATTTTTTCCATTCATTCTATTTCAGTTATATTTATTAAAATGATTTGTTTTTAAAATTTATGTAAAATATATATTGTATTTCTTTAATCATTATTAAGATTAAACTGAATTGAATGTGGATCTTATAACCGAGCAACTTACTAGTTCACATAACGAGTAGTAAATAATTTTTAAAAGTAAAAACATTTCTCAAAATTTGCTAATAAAGTTTTAAATATTTACTCAATTCACTAACTCATTAAATTAGGAGTACTGGTTTTATAGATTATCAAGAATTTTATATGAAATCATAATAAATTCATGATCATTGTTACTTTAAAAAATGACCTCTTAAACGTTAGTTTAAGTTAGTTATTGTTTTCTTATGAATATTAAAAAATAATAGCGCATATAATTTAAACTAATAAATAAAGCGTTTCTCGCAAGTGCATTAAATTAACGAAATGCGCACTTTTTAATTCCGCTTTACTTTTTCATATAGTTTTAGTAAAAATAAGAAAACTTTCTTATGAATTTTAGAATAGTAATTTTAATTTCTGTTAAAATTGTTTCTACAAAGCATTTGCTAAAAATATATTAATTTTTAATAAATAGCCTTAGTTTCCATGACTTGCTAAAGAATATACTAAATTTTTGTATCATTTTTAACATTTATTGCAAAGGATTTTCTTTCCGTGTAGGAGAGTCAGCAAACAAAAGTTTGCATTAATAACAAAATACTTAAATATTTTAATTTAAAATATTTCTTTAAAAAAGGTTATTGATTTTTAAAAACTGTTTCTTTCATCATTACTTCTTTTAGATCCATTAAGGTAAAAGTACCTATTATGGAATAATTTTTTTGTCAGTTTTTGAGATTTAGTGTATTTAAACCATTATTTAAGAAAGTAACAGGAAATTTTTGGCTGCATTAGAATTGTGCATGTCTCTAGTTGTTAAAATAGTACTGTTGGTAGCATTTTTATGTTGAAAAAACAAATTATTGATAAAATTGTAAATAAAAATTTTGTACCCATGAGATATAAATTTTATAGTGTACCTTTGTCTCATCAAAGCCGTTCCTATTATGGGACACTGAACAAATTGTTGCTATAATCTCAATTGTTTTGCATAATTATAACAGTAATAAGATGTATTTTTATTTGCATACAATAAATTAAAGATTTAAGAGCATTTGAACCTTCGTGACGTCACAAAATCATGGCGCATGATACGCAAACTTCTCAGGTATGTGAAAAGCACAATTTTGAATATTTTTTAAAAAAACCTTTTGGAAAATGTTCAGAATAACATAGACTTTGTCTGTTATGTGCGGAAAATTCAAAATTTTGCGTTTAAAACGTTTTTTAAACAATGTTTAAGTTGGTTGTCACAAGTAAGGAAAAATACTTACTTACTTACTTGTGACAACCAACTTAAACATTGTTTAAAAAACGTTTTAAACGCAAAATTTTGAATTTTCCGCACCTAACAGACAGAGTCTATGTTATTCTGAACATTTTCCAAAAGGTTTTTTTAAAAAATATTCAAAATTGTGCTTTTCACATACCTGAGAAGTTTGCGTATCATGCGCCATGATTTGTGACGTCACGAAGGTTCAAATGCTCTTAATATAATATACGGTTATAATAAAAATAAAAGTAACAAAAATTTATGAGCCGTCTGCTGCTGTCCTCTAGCGGTCATTTTTGTACAAATGTACATGAAATAGATAAAAAAGATGAAATGAAATAGATGAAATAGATAGCTTACATTGTGTGCAAACAACATTTGGAGGTTAGGTTGGATTCAATTAATTATTTATCATTGTTTATTTATATATTTTATAATTAAAATAAATAAACAATGATCCTTGAGAATAATTATAATAAGAGATTCTGTAAATAAATCAGCAAATTGTCGTGTCCCATAATAGGTAAAGGGTTTAAAAAGTGTACCTTGTTCTTAGACAAAGCCATTTGCCGCCCCATAATTACAGACACGTATGAAATTATGAACCTATTATAAGACACTTATTTTTCTCAAGAAATTAATTAAATTTAAATTATGTTATTTTTCAAACAGATTCTAGAAGAAAAAACGAATTGTTTCATCACTTATACATGACACATTATAGTCTTAATTGTGCAGAATAATCAAATATAAGAAAACTGGGACTGGAAAATTAATCCGGCAGATTTTATGGGTTTTGTGATTTGCGCAATTATTCAAAAATTGTTCAACTTTTAACAATATAAAATTTCGTGTTAATTATGTAAAATAGGGTAAATGCACCAGTGGTGGATCAGGTACCAATGGTGGATCAACAGCGTTAAAAAGGTTAAAATATGCTATTTCTGATTGAACTAAATGTTTCTATCGTTTAGGGGAGGTGTATAGATAAGTTTTATGAAATAAAATTATTTGAAAATATTGAGGAAAACAAATCAAGACAAAAATTGTTGATTTTACGCATTTTTATATGAAATCTTAAAAAATAATTGTTTAGTCTAAAATTTTTTTATTTTCAGAGTAGAAGTTGATCAATTCCTTCCATATAGAATAATTTTGAAAAAAAATTTACATCATTAAGTTATTTTTGTGTAGTGTAAAGGGGAAAATGATCCACGACTGGATCAATGTCATTTTATTGTTGAAAGGGGGTGTGCGGGGGTGTAATCGTTACAAGCAGGTCGAAAACTACATGATAGTTTCCTTAAAGACTTATTTATTCATACTATTGTCAAGATTACCCTATTTTTTCATCTCAAAAAATCTGTACATCTTTAAAGTCAAAATAAGAAATTTAGTAGGCTTAATTGATCCACTACTGGTGCAGTTACCCTATATGAGTAATTCCACGTGAGATTGAAGGGTCTATCCTCCGACTTCTTCTATACCAAGTCTAATCTAATTCTGTGTCAAAAAAGAATATTAAGTAAGTAATATTCTTTATAATCTTTATTTACTCTCCCTGCCCCAAGCAGGGTTCGAGGCTCCAATTACATATTAATCTTATTATAACTTAATCTATATAGGACATTTTTCTTAATCTACGCATACAATTTACAACTTCAATCTATTTTGTCAGTGCCCGGGCTTCCGTTTCTGGTTCTTTTGGCATTTCCGTTTTCTCTCCCACCCAATCAAAATTTCCTTCTTTCCCTCATTCTCTCTCATTCTTTCTCATTCACTCTCATTTTCTCTAATGCATTTATCCATTTCTCCATTCTCATTCAATATCCACTTCGCTTTTGCATCTACACCCCACTCTTCATTCTTACCTCTTTTCTCTTTCACACACCTTTCCAATACATGTTCCAAATCTTCTAACTCATACCCACATATTCTACACAATTTCTCATCTTTTTCTAACCAATACCTGCATTCTCTTATTCACTCTCCCATTCTAAACTTCACCATTTTCTGCCAACTATTCTCTTTCTGCATCCTTTTCAGATACACTGGTTCCCCGACTCCTTTCACCATTCTAAATAATCTATTATACTTCGACTTTGCAATCTTTTTCCACCTTTCTTCTATATCCTTTTCTTTCCATCCTTCCTCTAATTCCAACCTCCCTCTTCCATTTCCTTGTCCTTCCTTTATAGCCTCTATTCTTGATTTTTCCCATTTCGAAATTTCACTCACTCCTCTCTCTTCTCTCCTTTTAATTTGATTCCAACATAATTGTGTCCACTTATTTCCTCTCCCTTGACTCAACCTTTCCTCAAAACCACACGCTCTCCTTCTTTGTCTAACCAACATCTTTTCTCTCCCTATCTCCTCCCTCAACATATATCCTGGACAACTCGCACTCACTCCCATAGTCCATTTCAAATACCTTTCATGCATACTCTCCTACCCTCACTCTCGTTCTTACATCCTCATACATTTCTTTTATCCTCTCAATCAAATCATCTTCTATTCCTTGCTTTCTCATTACTTCCCACAATATGCTTCTATTCACCGAAGGGAAGGCCCCCTTAAAATCTACAAATAGCGCTAATAATTTCCCTTTTTTCCTTGCTAAATTTCTGCTAACCAGGTAATTCAACGTGTAAATATGGTCCATAGTCCCCATTCCTTTTTTAAAACCTGCTTGGCTATGGGGGATTCCTCCTAATCTTTCTACGTTCTCTTCTAACTTTTTCCTTAAAATCTCCGCATACACTTTGTACCCTACCGGCATCAATGTTATTCCCCTATATTCTTCTACAGTTTTCCCTTCCCCTTTCTTTACCAGTGGTACTATCACTCCCGTTTTCCAATCTTCTGACCACCCTTCAACTCCCCATACCCTTCTTACTACATCTAATAACTCTTCATCGACCACATCTCCTCCCCACATTAAGCTTTCACTTTCCATGCCATCATGTCCTACTGCCTTATTTCTTTTCATTTTACCTATTGCCTGTATCAATTCTTCCTTCCTAATTTCCTCCCCTCCTTTCTCCACACTTCTTCTCCTACCTTCACCTCTTAATCTATTCTGTACACCACCGGCCATCTCTCTAAAATATTCTGTCCATTCTTCCATTTTAATATTTCGATTTATCCCTTTCCACTTATTTAGTTCTCTATTTACAACCTCCCATTCTCTACCTTCTTTGACAGCTTTTTCCAATTCTTCTAAAAATCTTTGTTTTTCATCTTCCTTCTTCCTTCTTAGTAATTTTTCATGCTTTTTATGTTCCCCATTGTACTCTTTCTTACTCATTTTTCCTTTTCTTCATTGCTTAATGCATTCCCTCATCTTTTTCCTACTTTCCTCACACTCTTGGTCCCACCATTTTTTCCTTTCTAACCTCTCTACTTTTTCCTTACCTATTTCTTTTTTAACTTTCTCATTATTTTCTCTCATCCTTGCTAATTTTTCATCAATAGTTTCCTCTTCCAGAACTATTATCCATCCCTCTTGTAATCTCCTTTCAAATTCTTCCAGTCTTCCTACACTCCACGTTCCCATTTTGATTTTCTCCTCTTTTTTACATACCTCACTTCTCTCTCTCTCTCTCTCTCTCTCTCTCTCTCTCTCTCTCTCTCTCTCTCTCTCTCTCTACCTTTCTTTTCCCATATTCTAATTCCACTATTACCGGAAAATGTTCAGATCCTAGTTCTCGCCCTATCTTCATCTTTTTAATTTTTCCCCTAACCTTGTCTTCAGCTAATATATAATCTATAACAGTGTCTCCTCTCCCTGCAGAAGTAAATTGTCCCTCTTCATCCCCATCTACGTTACCGTTACAAATTGACCATCCCCAGTACTCAACCAATTCCACTAACATTCTTCGTTCATTATTTATCTCTTTATGCTTAGACTTTCTTTCAAACTTTTCCGTCTCTTCATTCCGTTCTCCTCCTCCTAATTCCCCCGTCCGCGCATTTAAATCCCCCCTATCAACATTTTTGTATCTTTGCTCAATTCCATCCATTCTTCTAAAACATGCCAGCCTTCATCCTCTCCTCTCCTTCTATACATCCCTACTATATATAAACTTTCCCACCCAATCTTTATATTCCTTACCATAATCCCATCTCTTTCTTCCTTCACAATTTTCCTTCCTTCTTTAATTTCTTTCCTCACTCCCGATATCATTCCCCCTGCACTCCTTCCCTTGTCATGCATTCTCTTCCCTTCTTGCCATCTCCACCTATATCCTTTTGTCAATTTTTTCTTTATCATTTCCCAATCTTTCTTTTCAATCCATGATTCACTCAAGAAAATCACGTCCTATTTCTCTAATACTCTCCAAAACCCTTCATCTTTATTTTTCAACCCTCCTACATATTTACTAAAATTTGAAATACATTTCTTAAACACTAAAAAATATTTTCAGAAGTATTTTGGTATCAATATTTCCCATTTTGACACGTTTTCCCTAAATTGAAAATTTTTTACTAAAATGTCTACTATACTTAAAAAAATTTATTCTATATTTTATTTCTATGTACAGAAAAAATGTATTTTAAAACCGGAAGAAATCTCTAATTTCTAACGAGAGAACCAGAAGAAAACCGGGAGGCAAAAATTCTAAAAATAGTGGCCACCCTGGTCACAGGGTTTTAGCCATTTTGCAGGAATCATGAACTACGTTTTCCATTTTTTGACATTATGCAATAAATTAAATTTTTAAAAATTTAAATTAATTTTTAGCTCATTTAGTATTTTATTTCTGTGAATTAAAATATGTGTTTTATGAAGAAAAATATTTTTCGGTTTACTGTTTTTAATGTACATCTCTCAAATTAATGTTTTCTAAGTTTGTCCCACAAATAATAGAAAAAACTTTATAAATTGTCCCATAATGAGTACTTTTACCTTATAAGATTTCAATAAAACAAATTTTAATTTTTATGAATTACATAACGTTTTTTTACATTTTGCTATAATTTATGATAGAAATTTTAAACTTTATAAATTGACTTTTCACCACGTTCTGTATCAAACAAATAGTTCCAAATGATGTAAGATTTTATTTCTACATACTTTAAGGTATCTAAATGCAAAAAATTTGTTGATATTATGTTTGCCGAATAGTGGGGTTTTGGTCAAAAATCGGCGCTTCTGGTCCACTTTGCATTTGAAAAATTAGTTTAATAATTAGAATAAAGTGAGTTTTATAAATGTATCACAGTTTTCTTGGAAGTATCAAATTGAAACCAAAGTGGATGAAATTAAGACAAAAATTTGTATCAATTTTTTATTTCATCCATAGTTTGGGTATCAATTCGTTGCAACTTGATATTGTTAAGTTAACAGTGATGTTATTTAGTTAGATTAAATTTTTCTAATTGGTGGTATTATTCTCAATACTTTTTCAAAACGGCGCGTATCTTTACACAACAGACAATAACATGTGTTCTTATATTAATTATATACTAATTTGAAGAAGTAATGTTTTTATAATCATAAGACTACGAAAATAAAATAGGGCGATAAATATAATAATGAAAATTTTCTATACCTTATCCATTACCCGCATTACAACTGTGTATAGTTGACATATTCTTGCTACTTTTGGAGACACCTAAAAAAACTTTTTCTTTATTCATGCATGCAAAATTCTCTTTAGAAACTACTTACAGCTATCCAAAATAACGAATTTCTGTACCATACGCGCTAATAATAAGCAAAGTATTTTGCGCACTATCTAACAGTGCACAATATACTTTACTCATTGCCCATTCGCATACTGAACGATACAGCTATTTTGAATAGTTGTAAGTGGTTTGCAAACGATGTTATGTCTGCATTTATAAAGAAAAATATCGTTCGACATATTGGAAATTTGTCTGTTTATTTTATAAATGGACATATCTCTATGAATTTTAAACTTTAATATATCAAAAAGCTTAATTTTTTAAAGCTTTTTCAAGTAGAGCCCTTCTTGAAATTCACGAATTAATTAAATAATAGAAAAACTTTGCTGTATAGTAATATTACAACGGTATAAATTTACGTAAAATGGATTTTTAGCTTTATAAAATTCAATTGAGATAAGAATTTATAAAATTCTGCTTATGAGACAACTTTTGAAACCAAATATACTAAATTTAAAGTTTATATTTTAAGAAAATAAAAAACATTACAATTCTCTAAGTGCAATATATTACATCCACCTTTAAAAATTTTTGAAACATAATTTTAGATTTATAAATCAAAGACAACAAAATAAATTGATGAGAATTCATTAATTTATTACATTATTTTGTTTGTGAAGCATATGCAGTAAAATTGTGTTGTAAAATTATGTTATTGTAAAATGAATTTAAAATATTTATGATTCTATATTGTGTGATTATATAAAGTTTAAAAGTCCTAAAAACATATCCAAATACAATAAGAATTTATTCTTTTAAATAAAATGTTGATAAATGCTAAAGAAAAAACAAATTTTATTGGTGCTACAAATAGTAAACAATCGTTCTGTTACTGCTGCCAAAGAAATTCTAAAGAAATCAAACATTATTTTTAAAAGAAATGTCTGATTCAGAATCCAGAAAAAATAGTTTTTTTTGCTTGAAAATGTTCCTTAGTATAATTAAATTACTGTCCCGAAACGTTCTTAAAAAAATATGAAAAAAAGAAGTTATAATAAAAAATGGTTTGTTAGCCCTGGTTTAATGTATTATGTTATTAGAACTTTTATCGCGTTTTTCTCGAAAACATATTTTTCAAATTGGTGCACGGCTTTTTTCGAAATCTACCGAACCGATGTTAAAAAACCAAAGATCATTTGATTTGAATGAATTTGAGTGATAATTTTCTGTGTGAATTAAGAGAAATAAATGAAAAATGCAACTGGGTGAGGGATTCTCTCGTCATGAGACTGACGAAGGGTTAAAAAACTAGAATGAACACGGCACCACTCATTTATAATACACGGCTTATCGTGTGACATAGTAAATGTTAATGTGTGAGTTAAATGAACAGTATTCGTCAAGAGCGCATAGTGCATAGACGTAAAAGTACTGCCTTCGAGGCGTTGCACGTTGTCCTGATTGGAGGCTCGCCGTAACGTTTTCACCTCTATTCCGTAACTTACTTGTGTGGAGTGACTTTTAAAAACCTAAGACATAAAATAAGGACCTCTGAAAGCGAATTTTTTTTTTCTGCCTCTTGTGGTAATGACCGTATAGTGCATAAAATGGTGTCGCGTGCATTATAGAATTTACGCACAAAAAAGTGTTTGCGTAAAAAGCAACTAGTAGCTCTTATAGCGTTCGTTTTGTGGTGGGGCAGTAGTGATTCAACATGTCAGGTAGAAGTGGTAAGGAGAATGAGGCCGCTGAGGCGATATTACACCTTAAAGATAGGGATAATGGGATTCATCAACAGCAGATTACAAGTGTTAATGAAAATGGTATAAATGTGAATCATCTCATAAATATCGTGGGAATTTAGAGGAAGTCTCACGGGATTGTTCGAGAAAATGTAGTCATTGATAAAAGTAGTGCTGATAATATTGTTTTTAGAATTGTTCCAGACAATATTCAAAAATATGATGTTATCAGTCGTCGTAATTGCTGTGATTTGCCACATGTGTCAACAATGAATTTTGTGAGAGTACTGGTAAATGAGAGAGAGCTTGAATTGTCATTTTCCAATGAGACTGGTAAAGTTTGTGAAATTAAAGAGGGACATTTTCTAGATGCGAATGTTATGAATTTAGAAAGTGTATCGTGTGGTTGGAATATGATTGAGAAGCTTAATGGAAATGGACATACTTGAGAAATCCGGTTCCCAACCTGTCAGTGCCAAATCTTATCCTTGTGACCTTAAGAACGTAAAATTTAGATGATTTAGTTAAAAGTGTAGAAAGATTTGCATCTCGCTACTGAAACAGACGCTCTATATGCAAGTACGTGTTTTTTTGTAAAAAAATTAGATAGAACATTTCAACTCGTAATTGATTATACACGGAGCAAAAAAACAAGGCTTTACAGCATGGACCTATATATGCTTCCTTCATACGCGTTTCTATCGTCCATCTTCAGTACCACCTCTTGCTGTTGTAGCTCGGCTCCTTACTATTTTAGTACGGGCACGTGAAAATATAGCATAGGTCCTTCAGAAGGTGGACATATGTACGGCCCTGAGTGTTTCCACTTTTTGACATAACTTTGACGTGAAGGGTAACCTCCATCCATTGCACATAAGTCTCGCGCGCTGCAATGGTTGGAGGTTCCTAGGGTTGTAAAGTTTCATGAAATTTT